AAAATTTGAGGAAGAACAGGGCAGATAGCGGTCCCACACCCTAAGCATTCACAAGACGAACATTCTTTGACCGAGCAATGAACTCTGGAACTATTCTCTCTGCATCTGATAATGGTTTATGTGTTACAGCAAGCTAGAATACTTCATTAATGCCATTCTCATCTGTCCATGATAACTTAAATAAATTGATTGCAATAAATCCCAGGAAGGAGGAGATATAATAGAATAAAGCTTACTAAAATACATTAGATCCAGTAATTAAGTATAATTTGTTAATTAAGAATTGTTTGCCCATGTAAAGACAGCAGAAAGTAAAGGATAATAAACGGTCGCTTTTAAGGACAAGTGAGCTATCCCGCAAAATGCTGTTTTCAGAAAATCGAAGGTAAAGTTTTTGCCCCATGTTCAGTTTCATTAAAAAACAAGGACAATTTTCTCTATAACCAAACAAACACACCAATGAAACCAAACTTCTCCGATAGGTAGGGCAATGCCTACTTTTGGTGTAGGGCAAGATTTCTGGAAACCCCCGAAATCTGGGTTAGCCCGCTTGTCCTTAAAAGCGACCAAACGTGCATGGCAGATAACTATCAGGTGTTTGTACAATGTATCCACTACAGAAACTTCTGCTGACACTGTGGATTCTAGTCATCTGGGTCCAAGGGGTGTTTTAGAGTGTGTTTGCGGAAAAAGCAATTCAATACACTCAGTCCATCTAACCCACATCTGTGCTGCAGTGGTTTGGTGCTTCACTTAACACACAGGAGACAAATTTGATTCCTGAGAAGGGAGAATTTATATAGAATGTCTCAGTTTTTCTGCTGGGATGCTGTTTTCCTCTCAGTCTTGGTTAGCCCTCAAAGGCAGGGTCGAAGTCCGCCACCTAAAAAATGACCTAAATTGTGCTGATGGAGGCGAAAAAAACCCTGCATTTTCAATCCATCTGGCAGTGTGCCAACATTTAAAAAGCACCACCCTCTCAACTAATCAACAACCCAGAATCAAAAGGTTCCACTAAAATTAGTTGTGTTGTAGGCCACTGATGCTGGCCATATTCACCAAACCCCCACCAATACTACCATCAATATACCAGGGTATATTCTAAGAGTTGAAATCCAATTTCCAACACAAAATGTAGAGAAACATTTGTATTTCGTATGAAAAATTTACAAACCTCCGTCAAAGCCGAAGAAGTCTACAAAAGTGATTAAAACATCAGAAACCAATAAGAGGGCAGAAAACTGGAACTTTTTGGAAGCATTGGAAACACAGGAAAAGTTTGCCATGAAGAGTTCCTTCAAGTCCAGCAAAAGATCCACAGAGTCTATCCCGATTGCTCCATGAATAAAAGAAAATGACATCTGACTGAAGAGACAGAAGTGTCCTGCTATCCCTGAATATTGACATCGCCTTTTCTTTGAGACGAGTTTTTCAGTCAACCAACAGCTACAGTTGTTTTTAACAAAACAAGCAAGTCAGTCGAGTGCCATCATTGATTAGAAGCTGCTTCCAGTTCTTCACATTTCTGCTGCAAAGCTGACAGGTTGGTCTGTAAATCCAACTTTTTCATCCGTAGTGCTTTTACAATATCTGAAACAAAAATATGTGAGGTACACAGGGTAAATTCAAATGTGACTTCATGAATATTACATGTCATACAAGAAGTCGTTATACTGCTTGATTAATAATTCAAAAGCAGATGTTTAGAAATTAGAGTAACAGAGGAAGGTACAGCAATGACTGTGTAATGATTATACTTTTTGCCATTGCAAGGAAAAATCATCAGTTTGATTACCACAAGGCCGGGAACAAAGTCTTGTCAAAATTTTGAACCAACAAAGACTGCATACACAATAAAAAAAGAGTCTCCCCTTCTATATATATATATGAGCAACAAAGATGTCGCCACTAGTTAACCTAAAAACAAAATGTTTTCTTTCGTTTCTAAAAGTGGATTTCCTTTACAAATATGCCTCTGTTCCTACTGTTTGAATTTATCAGTTGTCACTCCCTAAAAACAGTATCCTATACATACACAAAAATAAAATAGATCTTTCTACTGACCCTGTTCGGGACATTTTGCTTAATGTCTCAAATAGAGGATAAACGACTTTTGTTGTATACAACCTAGTAAATATCTCAGAGAAGCAAATGTCACATTGGATAGATATTTTAAATTGGGACATTCAGCTAGATGCTGTTCAATCAAAGCAATCAGTGCTGCAAGATTAATCACTATTTTGCTTCTTTCACTAAAAGTAAAAGATGTACAATCAAACTCTATACTTACTGCCAGTTTTTGCCAATGTATGAAAAGCAATGCCTATATTCTCATATTTAAATCAAACACAGTTAATCTGAAAGCAGCAGTAAACTGAAAGAAAATAGAAACCCCAATTTGTTCCCCCTTTGCCTTTGAAAAAAACAAACTATCAGCACCCCAAAATGTTCCTATTTCTAAACAAAAAAGAATTTTGAGGGCTATGACATTTAAATCTTCACTAACAATGTAAATCATCAAGTCTTACATCACATGCTTCAAGATAGCGATACAGAATAGAGGGACATAAGAACGCAGGTGTGTTGATTGCAGGTCAGAGGAGGTATTGTTCAGTGTACTGTTAGCCTAAGTTTATCATACACATCAGTAAGTAGGCCACTGTGTTGTGACACAAGAATATCCGATGTATATTCCGTTGCGCAACATCCACTTGCCTAGCATAGAGCACAGTACAGTGAGCCCAGTACAGTGTGCTGATCTACTCTTACGTCTGTTCCGTTAATATATTTTGGCATACTATGATTTTTAAAAAGCTGAGATCTATATATCAAATATTGGTGAAAGCCCATCACTTTGGCAGCCTAAAACTTCCCAACCATTTAACTTTCGAAAAAAAAATTAATAGAGGTTCAAAATCATTCAAGGGGTGCACACTTTTATTGATGAGTCTGAAGTCACTGTAGTTTAATTTTCAGTTTTTTATTAGTTTCGTTTAGATCTAATCTTGGGAAAGTTCATCTTCTAAGACTCCATTGTAAACAAGTGAGGTTTCCGTTCACCTTTGAAATTCTAGAGTGTACAACCACGAAAGCAGAATAGAGAATCAATCTATACATCTATTATTTGGCAACTGGAAACACATGAGTCACCTTTCTCTCAAGATTCATTGCTCCATTCCAGTAGAATGTAAATATAGTAGGCCAATGACTTTCAGTTGATGTTAATGCACCGATCATTCCTTTCATCGAAAGGGGGCCCAGCTAGTTATATTATAGAAGAGAAAGAACAGTGCATTAAGCCTGTGGCTCATATTGCAGTTACTGACAGGGGTAGATAGAAAAAAGCTATAGAAAAAAATTGCAGAAAGCATGGCATTTCCAAGTGTACACTGAACGCTGTCTCAACAATCATCATTGTCTGAGCAATCTCTCTAAACTGAAAGCACAGCTAAACCAAAGAAAATCCACTAGGGCCCCAGGCTTCAGTTTGAGCGGACTCCACTATTTATGGACTATTTGCCCCTGAGCCTAAGTTGTTGTACCGTCCTGACGTATATGCATAAATGTATTTGTTTGGCAAAACTGTCAGTGAATTTGCCACCATAGGTGTACACTTTTTCGGCGCACAACCTCTCTCAACTTATCAAGAGTCTGGGAGTATCTGTTAGCATTAACAGTTTGTCCTGGTTCCAGAATGTCAAGAAACTGAACACCCTTAGCATCCCAGAAAACCATGGCTATGAGTTTCTTCACCGATGGCTGAACTTTAAACTTTTTCGGGGGAGGTGAAGACGTGTGCTTCCAAACCACTGAATCCCTCTTCGTCTCAGGGGCCATGCGGTGTATCCAAGTCTCATCACCTGTAATAATGCTTCTCAGGAGTGCTTCATCGTATTGTTGATGGTCTTCAGATGCGTTCATGACTCCCGTGACAGCTTGGCTACAACGATTTAACAAAGTCTGAGACACTTCAACACATTGCGTCTTGTGGTCAGCTGTCAGCTCTTTTGGGACCCATCGAGTACAGACCTTTCGAAAGCGCAGTTCATCAACACTATCCTATGGACAGTCAACTTTGAAATGTTTAGCGACTCCGAAGTTTCGCGAATTTTTAGGCACCTGTCTGTTTGAATGAGTTCGTTGACGCGACTCTTGTAGTCCTCAGTCTTGGAAGGAAAACAAGGTCCTGGGTGAACTTTGTCATTGACATCGGTATTCCCCGCTTTGAACTTACTACACTACTCATATACCAGTGACTTTGCCATTACTTTCTCCCCATAGACTGATTTTATTTCAGTGTGTATTTCTATAGGTGTGAGACCTTTTGCGGTCAGAAACCGAATGACAGACCTCACTTCTACCCTTGACTAATTTTCCAAGGGGGTAGCCATCTTTGGAGAACTGCTGTGTCCGTTTAGTTTGTGCGATGCTCATGGTGCTCAATCCGGAAATTCCTAAATGATTGTTTTACAAGTGTGCCTTTACAGGATGTGAAAATATTGAATAGTTTTCAAATTACAGCCAAATTCCGATTTTCCGAGGGACAGCCCTCGTAAAAGAACAGCAAAGTAGATCTACATGTGGATCTAAGTGTACATGGATAAACAGAGATATTGTTCACACTATTTGTATGAAACAAATTGGGATGGGGAGATTAGTCAACACAGCAAAAGAGCTCGATGTCCATGGCATCCAGGTCTTCCTGAGTCTTGTCCTTCAGGTCCACCTGTTTGACACAGTTGGTGAGCCACCATTTGTCACAAAGCATGCACTGGGTGCACACTACTTGTCCTCTGGTGGTGGCCCCACACCCAGCACAGTCGACCTCAATGTCATCACAATAGTTGCAGCTGTCATCATACACCGGCTCTTCACCCCAGTCAGAGGAATCTTCACCCTCATTTTTCTTCTGTAAGGCCACAACCAAAGCATTCATCTTCTTCTCCTCCTTTCTCCTTTTTTGTCCTCTCCCTTTGTATCTTCTTCTCTTTTTGGCGTTCCTTCTTTTCTTCAGCCTGTGCTAGCCGTTCCATCTATCTCTGCTCGCTTTGCTTCTTTCTCTCTTCCTTCTGCTGTTGTTCTTCTTCCGCCTTCCTCTTCTTCGTGAGTATCATCTCTTTATAGTCATTTCCACCGATGCACTGTGGCACAGGTGGCTGAGGCCTTTTAACGCCCTTGTTCTTTGAACATGACTGTAATGTGAGCACCTTGTCGGTGATCGTCTGAGGTTTCAGGGCTCCTGCTGATGGCTGGGGGAGTGGAGGAGGAGCCAGTTGTTCGATATCGTACATCAGACTGGACCACATGTTGTAGTCGGGGTCAATCTTGAGGTCGTATCCAGTCTCATACCTCTTGAGGAACAGGTCCACCTTCTCCTCCCCAAGCTTAAAGTTCATGGAGAATATTTGCTTGAGCCGATGATGGCGAGTTTGTGACGTTGTGGATGGCTCAGAGGCAGAAGAGGTGAGTGGGGCAGAGGCAGAAGAGGTGGGTGGGGCAGAGGGAGAAGAGGAGGGTGGGGGAAAGGGAGAAGAGGTGGATGGGGCAGAGGGAGACGAGGTGGATGGGACAGAGGCAGATGAAGTGGGTGGAACTGAGGGAGACGAGGTGGGTAACAAGTGGAAGGTAGGGGCAGGGGACCCTGTGAAGGTGCAGCTGGGTTTCAGCTTGTCACTTGTGAGGACAACGTCAGGGTTGTAGGGAAACAGCCCTGCCTTTTTGAATCCCCTCGTGGCTGTTTCTGGCTGAGCTGCTGTTGTCCAGGCCTTCTTCAGGACGCCGGCAAACGTCCCCAGTGTGACGGGTTTCATGTTGTCAGTCACGAACTTCCTCACCTCCTCTTGCCACGCTGGCTTGATGGCCTCGAAGAATGCCTGGTTCAGAGGCTGTGTCAGGTGGCTGCTGTGGGCCTTGAGGCAATATAATATTACCCCGTTCTCGCTGCAGAGGTCGGAGACCTCAAGCGAGCTATGGCTGGAGTGGCCAGCGACAAACAAAACGACAGGCCTCTTCATGCCCTCTCTCGCTAGGTGAGGGATAAAAATATCCCTCAGAAAACTGAGGAAAACGCCTTCAGTTATCCTTCCATTGTCACTCTTGTTGAAGAACGCTTGCTCAAAGCCCTCAAGAGCATTGTATGGAGGATCCCTCTTGTAGGGAAAGATGAGGAGAGGCAGAAGGTACCGCCCATTTGCGGAGATGCAGGCAAGGGTGGTGACCTGCTGCCGTGACCCACTGGTTAGGGCATTGACATGCTTGGCCCCTGTTTCGCTGATCACCTTTTTGGTCTTTGGGCAAACACTGAAGCCTGACTCGCCCGCATTGAAGATGCGGTCAGGGCTCGTGAGGAGTGAAGCGTCTTGCTGATCGATGTACTCCTTCATCTCCTGGAACCAGGTATTCAGGCTGTCCCTTGTCACAACAGCCTGCTCTTTTCCGAGAACCTGCAATGCCCTCTCAGATAATGATAGGTGGGGATGACGCTTAAAAAAGGCCTGGAACCAGTCTTTCCCAGGCCTGTTGTCCTTGAAGATGGTTGTCCGCTTCTCTGCGTCAAGGATCTTCTTCACCGCATCCTTCAGGTCCTCACGTGTGCGGCCAAATCCAAGTTTGCTTGACTCCTGGAGCCAGGCGACGAGCTTCAGCTCCTTCTCGATGGACAGGACGGTCTTTGGCTGGGCTTTGACTGGCCTCCGTCCTCTGATCTTGTCCCCCAGCGTGGAGTAGGGGATGTTGAAAGTCTTCGAAGCACCGTTCAAAGACATGTGTTTTCCTTTGACTAACTCAATTGCTCGTTCCAGGGTCTCTTGTGTATAGGATTCCATTTGGGTTTCTGAAATTAAAGAAAAACATTGTGGAAATTGTTTCCATGCCTTTACACAAACATAAACAGCACTGTATAAAACATTTTTCATCCATAAAGATCATCTTGATAGTTTTAAAGTTTAGACAAAAGATAGATCTACTATCATAGTTTACTCAAAGATAATGCCCAGCAGGCTCTTTACAGAGTAGGCCTAGATCTATAACATAACAACTCTATTTGAGCTCTCTTTCATAATTTACTGGCAAAAGACCAGTGTTGATACATGTTCACACGTTCACAAGACTAGCCATCACAGCGGTAGGTCGCACGCTAACCCATCACGCAAAAACCCTGCCTTACCAGACGCCATGGCCGCACTGCGCGCCTACCCCCACCCATCCCCTCAGAAAGGCTGAGCGGCTCCGTGCTTTGCTTAGCACTGATGCTACACGCACAACACACTGCTTTGTGTGTAGTACAAGAACACATATCTTCATAAAATGCATTGACAGCCTTACAACTGCAGGTCGATGCATTGTTAGAATACGTAATCAGCAAGTTTGGAAATAACTTACCTCTGTGTATGTGGAGTAAGCAACCACAGCGACCAGCCAAGAATCTCATGCCACAGGAAAGGGTGCTGCCGAAAGTTGATAAACGCGGGAACACTCTAGCAGCATGTCTAAATTGGTTCATACCACAGGGTTGTTACGCTGCCCCCCCCCCTCCCCCCCTTCCTGTCGCGCAACCCCGCCGCTACTCTAATTATATTACAGAATTAACCAGGTATGGAACCAGTGCTTTGCTTCTTTCCATCCTCTCTCCTGCCATCACTTTTTCCTTACCCCCCCCCCTCCAGCCCCTCCCCTCCATAAACTTCACAATTATATTTTGTTGTTACCTTCCATTAGCTGGGGATGTTCCATAATTTTCTGGCTAATTTCAAGAGCCTGTTGTTCAGCTGTAGCAATAATTCTGTTCCCTCGCTCGTCAAAGCACCACTGAGCCTCCATTTTCAATTTTTCAACTTCCTGAAAACAAATTTTAAAGATCCAAGAATAAAAACAGCCAGCTCAAGAAAAAAAAACAAGTGAGACTCAAATGACTTAAAAAGGAATGTGTGACATAAGCATCAATCAATCATGCCCAAGGAACACACATCTCCTCACACCTGTCTTCAGAAGCCAAAATTGGTGTCGCTATCAGTAAAGGTAAGATTGAAATTTTACATTTTTACAGGATCAGTTATATATATATTATATCATGGAAGGGTGGCTGAGGTTTCATTTCATCCCCAAAATGACTGCAAGTTGCATGTGTTGCTGTTGTTCCCACCTGAAGCCACATCCTCTCGTTTATAAAATCTTTTGTCCTCCCCCCTTTTTCTCTTTAAAATGACACTCACTGCGTAAAGAGACAATAAACTGTTCATTATATTTATCTGTCAGAATTTGGGAAACCAACAATGATACACAGACTACTGTTGAACAGATTAGAATTAGACAGAAACTAAAACTTAAAACCACATTCAGTAGGACTGTGAAATCACTAGCTTTACCCAGCCTAAGAAAAGGTTCAAATATATACTAACGCCCTTTAATTGTCAGGTTTCTCCGGGTATCAAGAAATACAAAGCTCTCAGATTTTCATGACTGCCCTTTTTGCTGTCCTCAGAGAAAGTTGCATTTGAAAATAGTCAAAGTTGCAAGAAAAATTAGCGAAAGTTGTGAGAAAAGTTGCAAGTCAAGACGTGTTTAAACTTTAAAAATGTCATGGAATTACAGGAATACATTGTTGGGTATGCTCATTGCAATCAAAGTAACCAACATGAGTTTTGTTAGATCAAAATCAAAAGTTAAATGTGAATGTCTACCACAAAAACAACAGCATGGAGGTTGCATGATGTACAAAAACAGTTTGTCCCCTGACACATGCGTCAGGTCCTTAACTCTCGCTGACATTGGGAAGGTGTGACGAGCGTGCTTTGGGGCTGTTCAAATATAATCTTACACCTTTTTGGGGATTTTTTGCCCCCCCCCCTTACACTTTTCTCACTCCCCCCCCCCTCCCTCCAAATCCCATAATATTACATTCTTCTTCTTTTATCCCGTGGTTGAGGCAACCGTGGGGGCACCACTGCATCTGAAAACCAGCTCTTGCCATCTATTTTTGTCCTCTGCTTTCCTCAGATTGTCACCCATGATCGTCTTTCCTGTCCACTCTGTAATGTTGTCCTCCCATCTCCTTCTCTGCCTTCCTCTCTTTCTCTTTCCTTGTACGGTTCCTTGCAGGATTGTTTTGGCAAGTCCTGTGGATCTTGTGACAAGCCCATACCATTTTAATTTTCGTCTCTTCACTGAGGTCAGTAGATCTTCATACTGCCCCACTGCGTTGGTGATTCTCTTTCGTACCTCAGCATTTGAAACATGGTCTTTATACGAGACGTCAAGGAGTCAGCGGTAACATCTCATCTCTGTGGTCTGAATCTTTTTCTCTAATTCTGCTGTTAGTGTCCACGACTCGCAGGCGTATAAAAATATTGAGATGACCAGTGAGCGCATTAGTCTGATTTTTGAGTTGTGCGTGATGTATCTGTCCCTCCAAATAGGCTTCAGTTTTGACAGCGCAGCTGTTGTTTGCGCGATTCTGGAGAGAATTTCTGGTCTTGAGCCTTCATCTGAGACGATTGATCTGAGGTATTTGAAGCTGTTGATGGTCTCAAGTTTCTCATATTCGCATATAATAATAATATGAAATTTTCATTTATATTGCGCAAATCCGTGTTACAATCATTGTTCTATGCGTTTCACTTTTAGATAGTATTCATGAAAAACATGCATACACACGTGACATAATAAATGTAACGGAACAAGTCCAAGTCTTCCAACTGACTGGAAAGGGTCCACTGTGTGCCACTGCGTTGTCCCGATGTTGTCTGTCTCATTACCCAATCCACTGCTAATAAAAAGAGAAAAGGCGATAGCAGGCATCCCTGTCTCACTCCTGTATTCACTTCAAACGAGTCTGTCCGTTGCCCTCCAAGTACGACACTGCAACTCATTCCCTCATACATCTTCTTGATCAATCTCACGAACTTTTCAGGTATTCCGTAGTGGTGCACGAGCTTCCATATTGAATCCCTATCTAGGCTGTCAACAAAGTTAACGTAAAGGGAAATTTTCGTTCTGAACTTTTTTTTGTAGCCTGTTTTTTGTTTTACGGGAAAGGGCTGCTAACCCTTTGCCCAACCGACCTTAGCCGCCTTATACGACATGCATGGTACGGATACAGTGGTCCTACTCTTTGCTCCCCTGTCTCTTGGACAGGGCCCCGAGAACAACACGGGTGCTTTTCTGCTACAGGAAGAGTCAAAGACCCCCCATCCCACCCTTTTTCCAGGCGTAAGATTATAATTTGAACATCCCCTTTAGGGGTTTTCTGGATGAATCGATCCATGTCTAGATCTATCTTCGTAGCTTAAGATTTAAAGTCTTTCACAAATTTTTATACAAGATCTATCTGATGCTACGGAACCAAGCAAGCTAAGTCAGACGATCGTGTACGATTGATTTACTCTAGATCTAGACCTAGATCTAGCTAGATGACGATTCAGTCCAAACAGGACTATTGGGGGGTCGGGTCGGCTTGGTTTGCTCGCCAGATTGATGCGCAAAGCGGCTATCGTGGCACAAGTCGATCGCGCCCGACTTATTTGCCTAAAATAACAAACGTTTTCAGGCGACAAGTCGGGCGATCATCCTGACCTGACCTGACCCGATCCGCAATGGACACTGAGCACCCCGTAGTGCAAAGGAAGTGGTAGAACTATTTCAGGTACCAATTGTCCCCCTTGGCGTCGTTATTTTTAGTCGTGGAAGAAAGTTTTATGATTATTTTTCCAACTTTTGCTAAAAATTGGCAAAAATTCGCGAATTCACGAAAATGGCAAAAGTTGCCAAAATGCAAGTTGCGGGTTGCGAGCGCTAATTTCTCTGAGGTCAGCTTTTGGTTGGTAAAAAATTCCTGTTGAATGAGAGCTAGATCTAGAATCTAGTGTTATTTTTGTAATTAATTGTATCATGGATATGGTGGAAACATTATGATTTTCTATTTCAAAAAGCAGAAATTAAAAAAGAGGACAAGTCTCTCCTTTAACTTCTGTTTTAAAAGGGTTTCCATTGACTGCACAACATCAGTGCTCCTTATTTTGATTTACTGGTTACAGGAACAGGGGAGCTCCGAGACGGAAATCGGTCATTTCATCACACGATCATCTCGTCACACCCCAATTATGTGTGACGAAATGACTTAGAATCTAGCTCATCTCTCGAAAATTGTTATTTATGCTAGAGTAGAGTTTTGGAGGATCATTTTCTTCATTCAGATTTGATTACAGGCACAATGAAGACATTGTCCTTTCAAGTCACTGAACTTTAGAAACTCCATTTCAAACAGCCTTCCAGTTGAAAATACTAAGAAACTTTGACACACAGGTCCCAGAACACAAACCGTTTCTAATTTCTTTATCTCCTCTTTCGTCCTGTTCATGTGATCTGCCCGAGTATTGCATTCGTGCTCCACAGAAACCAAGTCACAGTAATCTTCGTAGCTAACAACGACCTTCTTGTCATTGTCACTCTTTGCAAAATCGGATTCCATTACGTCTCAAACCGAACAGAGTTCTTGAGCTAGAATTTTGGCAATTAATACGGGGTTCAAGGTGTTTTCATCACCCTTGTTCACGAAATTACAACATCAACAATCAACAGGCTCATTCGACGTTCATTCGTAGACAAAACAAAACAAGCCTGTAATCGGTAGTGAGAGTAGCCTCCCATAGATCCTCGTCCTTTGATAGATTCGTATCTTCGTATCTGTCCTTATTCATTTTTTGTTGTCAAGGTTTTCAATGCTTTTCTTCATTATTCGTTTGGAGCTTTGCTTTGATTCGGTTGCTGCGGAAAGAGGGAAAAAAGTGGGGTAGGGGTAGGGATGGGTAGGGATGAGTTGTTAGGAGTGGGGGGGAGAAATTTGCTTAATTGCAATGACTTAAAAAATTAATTACCAGTACCTCAAAGCAGAAACATTGTTCTGGGAAGCTTAGACGTTGATAGACAATAAAGTTATTTTATGAAACGCTCATTGTAATTTAACATTAATAACTACATGTATTATATTTTGTACAAGAATAGCAGCACTGTACTTTTTGCTTTTCTAAATAGTCTAGGCCTTTAGTTGTTTTACGCCCCAGTCGACAAAATTTAGATCATCTAAGAGGTGGGCTTCCGACCCTGCCTGTCACTGTCGCAGGGTCAATCTGGGCTGAGAGACTGAGAGATCGATACAACCTACCAGCAGAAAGACTGTTCTCCCCGCTCGGGAATCGACCCTGGGCCTCCTGCTTGCGACAGCGAAGAGCCTATTGCTTCACCACAGACGCCAGGGTGGTAAACTGTGCTCTGCACAAAATTAGGCAATATCTTTGAAAAGTGATGTCTATTGATATTAACTACAGTGACATGGCTCTACGGACTAATTTAATGTCGTTAGTATTCTTTTTGTTTTGTTTTTAAATCGTCATCGTCATTTCATCACTGCCTGTCTACTCTATCCCTGCATTAGGGATAGCTCTGTGTGAGGCATCATGGTGAAATCAAGCGCTCGTCGAAATAATGAAATTGAAAAAAATCAAGCATTTTCCCACCGGTTTCGCAATTTACATTTAGTTTTTGTGTTTTGGTTAATAATATCTTTTAAGTTCATTTTAAAAAGTTTTTAAAGTTTTAGTAGATGTTTTTACGGCGCTCTCAACTGCATAAGGTCATATGAGCGCCAGAAGATTTGAGGTTTTACAAGAGAGTAACAAAAACATAAAAAAGAAGAAGGGGAGATAAGGACGATAGGTGTTTCATAGGAAAGAAGAAGCAAACCACACCAGAGCACCCGCCAACCACCCACTGCCTATTTTTAAAAAGAAATTTCTGTGTGGATTTTACGTTTAGATGTCGATTAAAGCACAACAATTACTTGTCAATTTGCAACCAAGCACTCTGTTCAAGCTTTGGAGATCACAAAGCTTTGGAGGTCAATTTCTCGCTAATTTTACTTTGGAAACCAGACACCACTCACATCCTTCAATCATAAATATATAGACTGCTGCTATTCAAATTAGCTAGATAATTTTTTCATCCAAAGAGATAAATGAACAAGCTTAGAGCTGATACTAATAACTCCATAGTCCCAAAACTGACGAGCACCTGAATTCACCAGGTCGTGACACCTAATATGAATCCGGAAGAGACTTTTCGTGGGAGATTGTTTCGGGTCCTTAAACTAAAGTCCTTTCGGCTTTGTATGGGTCCTTCTTTGGTCTTGGTGGTGAAGAAACTTCTCCTCTCTCAAAATGAAAAATAAGGCCTTTTTGCTCGTGTTTCTGTTACTTTTTAAATTTAAAGTCTTTGTAACAGGGGAGAGGTAGTAGTTGGCCTTTCGTCAACTGGCTCTCTTTAGGAGATCTGACCAACACAGCGATAGTCGCCTCTTACGATACCGCGATTTCAGGTTTCGGTTTTTGTCTGCGCCAAAGGAGGTTGTAAGGTCCTTGGTCTGCGCTTAATAATGTTCGTCCTTCGCCGGCAAAGACGACCTTGACTTTACATCACTGGAGGGGTGGGGTGTGTGCGGAGATGGCTGATCAGGCCGATCTTCGTTCGGAAATGTCTGTTGCAGTGAGGGCAGGGGATGTCTGGAGCTGAACTAGGCCGGAAGGTAGGGGTCTCTCGGTCTTTTCTCAGCTGCCGTCTCCATTCTTTTTTTCTGATGTGTCTTTCTTCGAACTTGGTGACTCCCAATCTTACTAAGGAGCGCCAAACTGTGCGATCGCTAGTACCTTCTTCCCAGATGGTATGGGGAATGTCACAACTCTTCAGGGATGCTTTCAGAGCATCTCTCAAGCGTTTTTTTTTTCTGTCCACCCAGAGAACATTTGCCTAGGGTCATTTCACCGCAGGGTAACCTCTTTGGGAGGCAAGAATCGATCTTTCGGTGAACGTGGCCGGGCCACCGGGGCTGAGAGCACAGTAAGATAGCGTATATTATCTCTCCTTCTTAGTCCGCTGTAGTACCTCAGTGTCTGGGACTCTGTCTTGCCATTTGATACGAAACAGGGTCCTGAGGCATCTCATGTAGAAGGCATTGAGCTGCTTGGCATGCCGGCTGTAGACTGTCCACGTTTCGCAGGCGTAGAGCAGGGATGGTAGAACTACTGCTTTATATACACTTATTTGAGCTTGGTGTTAAGGCTTTGTCTTCTTCGCTCCCAGACCTTTTTTTCAGTCTGCCGAAGGCTGAACAAGCTCTGGCAGTTCTGTAGGCCACTTTCTCATCGATATTGACCGAGCCAGAGAGGGTGCTGCCAAGGTAAACAAACTTATCTGCTACTGCCAGTCTCTGGCCGTAGATGGTCAATAGGGGCTCTATATAAGGAGCCGATGGGGCTGGCTGGAAGAGTACTTCGGTCTTCTTTGGGGAGATAATAAGGCCGAAATTGTCGCAGGCTTTGGAGAAACGGTCCAGGCTTCCCTGCATGTCTGACTGAGTATTGGCATTCAGCGCGCAGTCGTACGCAAAGAGGAAATCGCGGGCTTTGCCTTCATGGACTTTGGTTTTCGCCTGCAGCCTCCGAAGGTTAAAGAGTTTTCCATCAGTGCGATAACGAAAACCGACTCCGATGTCTCCGTCATGGTAGGCGTCGGTCAGCATAGCTGAGAACATCATGCTGAACAGAGAATGGAGTCGGCACCTGGTGCCTTGCCACTGGACAGGCGTTTGATGGCGAGCATTACTTCTTTTTCTGTTGGTAGGTCTGCCAGAGCGTTGTCAATTATTTTATTGGCACTGTGGTAGTCGTCATAGTTCGAACTGGACTCTCCTCCTGGCCGTATGGAAATTTTCTTTCTTTGAGGTGGAGGAAGGCTTTTGAGGAGTGCTCTGTGGAGTCGATGCTTCTCCTCTAATATTGTCTGGATGTGACAGCTGTTGTCGTCGAACCAATCTTTGTGCTTGCAGGTAGTGGGGCCCATGATGTCTAAGGCAACATCATAAAAAGCGTCATGAAGACGTGCCCACTCTGTCTCCACATCGGCATGTGGGTCTATGTCGCTTGGTTGTAGTTTTCTCTCTAGCTCTTCTACCAGCGCATGTTTAACAAGATTATTCTTGGGCTTGGAGATGTTCAATCATTTGGCCACTGTGATGCCTTGGGGCCTCCAGGGTGCATCCATGACGTCCTGTAACGATTGGGCAGGCGGAAGACCGTGTTGGTGATGAGGAGATCGTCGGAAGCTCAGGTTTCCAACAGGAGGAGTCCGTTGTTGTTGAAGTTGCCAACACCGTGTTTCCCTAACACTCCCTTCCACGACTTGTGGTCTCTGCAAGGATGATGAGTTTGTCTGCTCTGGGTACGGCTGCGATGGTCTTCTTTAGGTCGTCGTAGAATTTTTCTTTTATGTCGTCGGGGTTGGTCATTGTGGGGGCGTAAGCGTTAATCAGCGCGACAAATCTCTTCTTGGGGAGCGGGAAGCGGGCAGTCATCAGGCGATCGATGATTCCCTTAGGGAGAGCTGCCTGCTTGTTGACCAGGTTGGACTTGATAGCAAAACCAACTCCTTCCTCGCGACGCTCGTCGAGTCCACGGCCGATCCAGAAGAACGTGTAGACGGCAGACTGCTCTGTGAGTTGTCCTTCCTTAGCGAGGCGGGTCTCACTAAGGGAGGCAATCTGTACTTTATATCGGCCCAGCAGCGGAGAAAGGCAAAAGAGACGGAGAGTTCACACATGATAACAAATTAATGGAATGCTTGTATAAAGGCCCCAGGTTTCATAAATCTTCGTAAAGTATTCTATCAAAAGCCATTTCCTCAGTAATTTCCCTTCATCTCCAGCCCTTGCTCCACGAGTCTCATTAACCTATCGTTTGGCCTAAAAGTGTTTTTTTTTAAATAATGATACAACAGCACCTCACAAGTAAAAAGTTTAAGACTTAAAAGAAACAAAACACAGTTGATTTTGAAGGCAGAACACTCAGTCACAATACTAGAGGAGTCCTCTTTTATGAAGTAGGTAACCGCAACCCGAAATAACTGCTTAAGTAAGGGAGACAATTACCTTAAAAAGTCTTTTTAAACAACAGTAAACAGAAAAACAGAAAAGCACTATAATAAGTGGAGGACAAATCTAGCAAAACGTATTAATGTCGAAATATTAGGAAATATCTCAAACCTTAGTAAGCCCTTAGAAAGCACATTTTTCAAAATGAACAAAATTACAGATAGAAAATATTCTAAGCACAACTATAATATAATATGATTGTTAGTACACCGACTATATAAATGAATCGAGGTACTTGAAATGTAAAATGACGTGTAAGGTGGTCACTCTTCACTTCACGTCTTGTGCTCGCCACTATGGCGGCATTCTGCTAGTTCATAAAATTGAATGATAATGGTGATTTAGAAATATCAATGAACTTTGTGTTCATCAATTTTGTGTTCATCAATCAACAAAAAATGGATTAACTAGACTTGAAGGTCAAATTTAGTATTGAATAATAAGAGCCAAAGATTGTGACCTGAATGTTACTACCAAAGATTGTGACCTGAATGTTACTATTTATATATTATATTACGTAGCGAATAATGTCAGGGTCGAATGATGACACCTAGACATTATCTAATACTGAATACTTATAAAGTAACAATAACTATCAAATAAATAGCACGCATGCACCAGGTATCGAATCTTTGATCCGAAACGGCGAGGAAGATAAATATAACCTAACAATAACAATGACGGTGAGGGTTCAAGGTGAGGGTGAAAGTGAAAAAGGTGAAGGTGGAGGGTGAAGGTGACGGTGAAAGGTGAGAGTGAAAGGCGACGACGAAGGTGAGGGTGAAATGTGAGGTCGAAAGGTGAGGGTGAGGCCGAAAGGTGAGGGTGGGGGCAAAAGATGAGGGTAAAACGTGAGGGTGAGGGTGAAAGGTGAAAGATGGGGACGAGGGCGAAATGAGAAGGTGAGGGTTAAGGGTGAGGGTTCAAGGTGAAGGCGAAAAGTGAGGGTAAAAGGTAAAAGATGAGGGTGAGGGTGAACGGGGGTGAACGGGGGTGAACGGGGAAAGATGAGGGTGAGGGTGAGGGTGAATGGTGAAAGGTGAGGGTGAAAGGTGAGGATGAAAGTGTGAAGGGTGAAGTGTTAAAGGAGACAATGAAAGTTGAGGGTGAACGTGAAAAAAGGAAAAAGGTAAATGGTCAGGGTGAAAGATGAGGGTTAATGGTGAGAGGGCAAAGTGAAAGGTGAGGGCGAAAGATAAAGTAAAAGATGAGGGTGAGGATGAAAGGTGAAAGATGAGGGTGAGGATGAAAGGTGAAAGATGGGGACGAGGGTGAAAGATGAAGGTGAGTGTGAAAGGTGAGGGTTAAGGGTGAGGGTTAAGGGTGAGGGTTTAAGGTGAAGACTAAAAGTGTGGTTGAATGGTGAAAGATGAGGGTGAGGATGAACGGGGAAAGATGAAGGTGAGGATGAAAGGTGAAAGATGAGGGTGAATGTGTGAAGGGTGATGTTAAACAATGAAAAGCATGTTTTGTTACAATCATTATCTTTGGGGGACATTTCGAAGATTTACCCACGAGTACAGGTAGACCTAGCATGTACAGAAACACATAAAATATTTAAAATAATATGTGTTGTTTGTTTGTAGGCCTACTATTTTTTTGTATGTGTTGATACTATTTTATTACAAGATAAGATGCTTTGTCCTCTGTTTCTATTCTTCCAGAACGGATACATTCATGATGATATCAGAATTTCGCCTTGCCATTTCTGCTTGTCGCTTAGAGACACGCGGGGCTGTGGAGAGAGAGAGAGAGAGATACAGAGACAGAGACAGAGACAAAGTCAGAGACAGAGACAGACAGAGAAAGAGTTAGAGAGAGAGTGGGAGAGAGAGAGAGAGAGAGAGAGAGAGAGAGAGAGAGAGAGAGAGAAGGTTTTTGAGGATTTGATGTGAAACAACTGAACTCCTAGTCTTGAATTATTTATATATGTATTTATTTTCTTACCACCATGGTTTGTGATAAGTCCATATTATACTGTACAGACACACAGAGCATTCATGTCAGATAAGACAATTCTTGGTTCGTTGTTTTGTGTGGGTCAGTACAAAAATCTGTCTGTATTTTCTGGCACAATCACTTTCATGACAAGATAATAAACTCATGTTTGATCTGCCGTTTTCGGTAGTCGCTGTTTGTTTCTGTTGCATTGACTACAAGATACGATGTTTGACTATATATATATATATATATATATATATATATATATATATATATATATATATATATATATATATATATATATAAATATATAATATATGTATATAAATATACAATATATATATATAAATATATATATATATTTTCATATATATATATATAATATATATATACATTCATACATACATATATATATATATATATATATATATATATATATATATATATATATATATATATATATATATATATATATATATATATATATATAATATGTGTGTGTGTGTGTGTTTCTGTTACACTCTCGACAAAATAACGTTTTTGATTCGATGTTTCTGCTACATTCATGACAAGATGAGTATTTTATTCGCTGTTACTGTTACATTCATGACAAGATTAGATGTTTTATTCGCTGTTTCTGTTATATTCATGACAAAATGAAACTTTGATTTTTGTCCCTATATTTCTGTTACATTCATGACAAGATGAAATGTCTGATTCGCTGTTTCTGACGAAATGGCAATTTTGAGTCTTTTGTTTTATTACATTCTTTACAAGATACATATTTTTTACTCTTTTGTTCTGTTACATTCATAAAACGATGAGATATTTGATTTGTTGTTTCTGTTACATTCATGACAAAACGGAATGTTAACGTTTGACTCTGTGTTTCTGTTACATGCATGATAAGATGACATGTGTGGCTCTATGTTTCTGTTACAATATTTACAAGATAAAATGTTCGACTTTTATGTTTCTGTTACTTTCATTATAAGAGGAAGTGTTTGACGCTACGTTTCTGTTACAATATTTACAAGATAAAATGTTCGACTCTATGTTTCTGTTACATTCATTATAAGATGACGTGTTTGACGCTATGTTTCTGTTACATTCATTACAAGATAAAATGTTAGGCTGTTATTTTTCTGTTGCATTCATGACAAAATGAGGTGCTTGATTCGCTGCTTCTGTTACATTCATGACAAAATGGAATGTTAATGTTTGACTCTATGTTTCTGCAACATTGTGCATGTTGGGCGCTTATGTGCTTGATTCGCTGTTTCTGTTACATTCATGACAAAATGAGGTGCTTGATTCGCTGTTTCTGTTCGTTGTTCAGCTGTTCCCTCAGGCTGGTTACTCTGATGAGCTGGTCTTCCTCCACTGCTGCCAGGACGTAGTCGGGCACATAGCGAGCCTGGCATTCCTCTACCAGCAGCATAATGCGGTCTGGGTGCGCTATGTCCACGGAAGACGTGCACATCTGAAACCCCAAAATCCCAGCAGTGATTTAGTTATAATACAGAACACGTGCGGAACCAACTCGATCGAGAGAAACATTCGAGAAACTTAGTTTAGTTTTAATAAGAGTTTTACGGCACTTGCAACACAATAAGTCATATAAGTGCCGTGGAATAGATTTTTGCAAAAGAGGAACATGCACAACAAAGAAGGAGGGGGGATACGGACGATAGATGTTTGATAGGAAAGAAGGAGCAAACCACACCAGAGCACCCGCCAACCATCCATCTCGAGAAACTTGATAGAGAAACACAATAAGAAAGATATATATGAGAAATGAGTCACGCTGAGTGAGTCTCGTATTTGTTCATATTATTCATGCTCTCCTCCCCCCGCCTCAAAACAACATAAGCACAACAATAATATAATGCTAATATTTGACTTATGTTTCTGCTACATTCATGACAAAATGAGGTGCTTGATTCGCTGTTTCTGTTCGTAGTTCAGCTGTTCCCTCAGGCTGGTCACTCTGATGAGCTGGTCTTCCTCCACTGTTGCCAAGACGTAGTCGGGCACATAGCGAGCCTGGCATTCCTCCACTAGGAGCAGAATGCGGTCTGGGTGCGCTATGTCCACGGAAGACGTGCACATCTGAAACCCAAAATCCCCGCAGTGATTTAGTTATACACAACACGTGAGGAACCAACTCGATCGAGAGAAACATTCGAGAAACTTAGTTTAGCTTTAATAAGAGTTTTACGGCGCTCGCAACACAACAAGGTCATATAAGTCAGTGCCGTGGAATAGATTTCACAAGAAAGGAACACACACAACAAAGAAGGAGGGGGGATACGGACGATAGATGTTTGATAGGAAAGAAGGAGCAAACCACACCAGAGCACCCGCCAACCATCCACCGAGGAAAACTCGATAGAGAAACACAATAAGAAACAGATATATGAGAAATGTCACTCGTATTTGTTCATATTCATACTCTCCTCCCCCGCCTCCAAACAACATAAAAAAACAACAACAAAACGAAACAGGAAAACAAAACATCAACAGCAACAACAACAACAACAACAACAACAACAACAACAACAACAACGATAGCAACGACCACAACAACAACAATAACAACAACAACATGTTGTTCTCTCATTTGGGAGGCGGTGGTCCTGGCGAAGAGTACGCTCTTCGGGGCTCCAAAGATTTCGAACGGATAGGCTACCACACACACAACAACAACAACAACAAAAACAACGACAACAACAACAAAAACAACAACAACAACAACTCATCACTTATCATTCTGTAAGACACAATTCTATCATGCGATCTATTTCCCTTTATCATAAGGTTGGATCGTGGCTTGATAAAACAACAATCAGGTGGTACCGAAATATCGAATGGCACTGTGTCAGGACCAACCCTGGGTGAGAAGGATAATATAATAATAAAAAATAACATCCCAACAAAAAGAGAGAAATACTCGGCCAAAATTTTCTCACAATCCGGGAATGGAACTCGGGTGTCCTGCGTGTGACAGTGAAGGGCCTAGGCCTTGGCTAACCACTACACCACAGACGCCACGATACTTTTCGATCTAGATCAAGGGTCATTAAATATTTTCTCAGAGAGGGGCGAATTACTAAGACTAAGAGAGTGCGGATCGCGGACTGGATAGCCCATTTTGTTAAACACAACACTCTGACAATATTATGTAAAAGGATAGATTGCTAACGTTAAAGCAGAGAAAGAGTGTGATACCTTGGCCAGGAGTTATAACGCCTTTAAAAACACGTTGATTTACATGCACTGTTGAGTTCAATGAAATACCCCCAAAAACTGCATTTCATATAAACAAGAAAACCAGTACAACCACAGAAGGAATACGTTTCTCTGCTATATAAAATATTGACAATTAGGCCTATATATATACCCATAAGGTCAACAGCGAAAACAAGATAGCCTACACAAGCACCTGATATCGACCCCCTTCCCTTGCTCTTCTTTCCCGCACCTTCATAACAAGATGAGCCTTGTCGTAGGAGCGGAGAAAATTCGCTGAAAGCACAATCAGGAGTCTCCAGCTGCTCTGAATAGCGTCCAGAAACTGTTGGTCAAGATAGCCTGGCCCAAGGTCACGCTGGTGGATGTAAGTTCTCAGATGGAGGTCTTCCTCCAGGTACCTTGGAGAAGGCGGGGAACAGGAATATTCAGTCCTGACACTCTGTGTGTTACCGACATAATATTATTATGATTATTCTTATGCGTGTGTGTTTGTGTGTGTGTGTATTTGTGTGTGTGTGTGTGTGTGTGTATTTATGTGGCTGTGTATTTGTGTGTGTGTGGGGGTGGGAGGGGTGGATAGTCAAGAAAAAAATTAACTTAAATGCAGGTGCTTTCTTCGCCGCCAACGACACAATCATTTCGATCATTTACGAGATGGGTTTCCGACCCTGCCTATGATGGCCAACCAGGGCTGAAAGGGATCAAAGATCGTGTATAAGAAGATAGTTCACTCCTCTCTTTGAGCCAATTAAAAAAGTGTTCTCAAAATTCGGTGGCGCCCTCTTCGAAAAAGTGCGGACTTTGCGAACGGAGTTACCCTATTCGTGTGAAAAACAATAAAGTGAAACTAACAAACTGTGCTATTCATATTCCTATTCAGGAGAAACGAAAGAGAGCTGCAAAGCTAAGGCTGCAGCGCCATCTGAACCAATGTGCAGACTTCCGCGGACACTTTTTTGGGTGAGTGAACTATCTTGTTATGTAGGATCTTTGGAGGGATGCAACATCCCAGCAGAAAGATCAAAGCACATTGTACTCGATAAAAATTGTATCCCTTCTGGGGAATCGAACACGAGTTTTTTGCTTGCTACCTCGAAACATCTACTAACTTCTACACCACAATCCAGTCAATATCAAGTACAGTCGAACCTCATTTCTTGTATATTATTTTTACAATAATTATATAAACGTAGTGAAAGACATCCACCTGTCTAAGACGACCAATTTTCTCCTTCATAATGGATGGCCGTCTTAGACAGATTTGACTGAATCAGGTAAAGAGAAGTCAAGGTCAAAGCAACCAACCTTCTTAATATATGGCGAATGAATCGAAAATCTTCATCTGCGTATCCTATGAAGACGTGGTATTGGTAGTCGCTCATGGTTTTCGGCCTGAAAAAGATGAGAGAAGGCTCATTATAAGACTAAAGCTCTAATTGAGGCCTCCACTCGGAGCATACTTGACCTACTATGCACATCCGGGTTCTACAATCTCTTTGCAGCCAAAAGGGGGCGGGGAGAAAAGTACAGCCATGACGTCATAATACGCGAAAGACGGTTTCAACGATTCTAAGAAAGGGTGGTACAACTAGATCATTGCTGCTTTTCTTCATACTGCTTCTCTGTCCATGACCAAGAACATAAATTCTAAAGAAAATACAGTAAAAGTCGATAAAACACTCTATTTGGAAACTTACTCGACTTTCTATGCACTGCACACCCTGGGTCTCCAGTCTCTGTGGCGCCACACGTGGCTCGCAGTGATGTTTTGCGGGAAAGACGCTTTTAACCCTATCTGTACGTCGTGTTTTACTATCATATCCATACGACGTGGGGAACTCTGTACGACCACTTTCAAAGAGGAAATTTAGTCGTTAATCCGACCCGAACACTTTGCATAGCAGTCTGTCAAAATGTTTTTTTTGTTTGAAATACTGAAAGTTTCAAAGAGATCTTTGTACTACAAGTATTCTAAAATGTGAAGAATACAACACCGGGGGTACAAAATGACCCCAGGGCGTACGGATAGGATTAACTCTTTTCAAGAATGGAGGCCCAAACTACCTTTTCCTCCCTGACGGTTAAGGTCAAAACAGCAAGAACTAATTTGTGTCAATGGTGGCATAACGTATTTACCTTCAAACAGACTAGACACAGATACATAATTGAATTATTAAATACATCATGACAAAAGAATCTTTCTTTTTTTTCATCATTAACTTGCTTTTCTTGGGGGGAGGGGGGGGGGTGAGATTTTATGATTATCTATCCTACTTCCGTCTTAGAATTAACTTTTTTCTATACGTTACTCAGTTAATTTTAAACTTGTATAGTTTTTTTTACAGCTACAACAATCAACCGAACCTACCTGACAGCGGGGTTCAGAAGATTTAGAAAGAAGTTTCTTAGCGCGGTTTTGTAACGCCACCACCTGTAGAGCGCCAGGAATCCGAAGGCCATGACCAAGACCAGACATATAGAGACCAGGAACGCTGTCCGGCCCACACATCGACGCCATATTGCCTTGACAGCTGCCAAGTCGCCTGTCCTGATGAAATAGCCTCTTTCGTCAATGCATGTGTAATTCCCAGAGTTGTCCATTCGCACCAGAGTTGTGTGCAGCCATACTGATGAAGGGGGAAAAAGAACGATGAAAAGGAGAAATGTTTTTAGGTAAACGTATGGTAGCAGGCGTACAGTCAAACCCCGTTATACTGCCTTCAATGGTACAAGCATGAAGTTGGCGATACAGCTGAGCTGTGGTACAACGAGGTTTTCAAGTCATCTGTTAAATACACGTAGCACCGACTGCCCTACGTCAAGGGAATGTGTTTACCAATCAGGAGACGACGTAATGCGTTATCTCCCTTCGATCTGTCACTTAGGACGCTATGCAATTATTGCCTCCCCCTCCCCCCGCCCCAAATGATATCACTGTCGTACGTGAGGAAAGCTTGATCCTTTACTCGTCCACCTTTTGTGATCGAATAGTTTTTAAGATGACAGAAGTAGGGTTTCGAAACTGATAAATAATCATTAACATCTCTGGGCATTGCGTGTGTGTGTGTATGTGTTCTTAATTTGAAGTGCAGTATTATAGTTATCCCTGCTCACCATGGGGAGGTAGACATAGCCCTTCAAAGAGGAATATAATTATCATTTTATGTTGGATGTCAATGATTAAAGTGGGTAAAAAATCAATGAAGGCTGAGATAAAACATTTTTAATGGAGCAATCTGAAACTAATTCAATGGTAATTCCTTTCTTCGCAAATTCCTCTTTCAGACTGCTCCGGTGTTTTACTTTCAGTATGTTTCTCTTTCTCAGTTGGGTACACTGTCCAGCTTCCATGGCACTGATTTTCAGGCGTGTTATTTGCTGGTGGACACTGGGTTTCCGAATGAAAAGGAAAAAGGAACAGGTTTAGTGACGCGCACCTAAAGTATTGTCATGCGCAAAGGTTAATATAAGCTATGTCTTTTATGCCAACAGACGAAAGTAAACCAGCTCTAGATTCAAAACCATTACAAATTTGTTGTTGATTATTTGTCCGATTTCTACACATTCAGCGCTAAGACATCAGTGATTGATAACCCGCCCAAAAAGTTCATTCAACAATCTGTCTAAGCCCAGAGACACCATTACAGTAACGCACCATTAAAGTGCGTGTATGTGTGTGTGTGTGTGTGTGTGTGTGTGTGTGTGTGTGTGTGTGTGTGTGTGTGTGTGTGTGTTTGTGTGTGTGTGTGGGGGGGGGGGGGGTATCTGTGTTTGTGAGGAGGGGAGGGGGGTTGCTCAGCCTTTGCCATGTTCAGAAGCAAAAAGAATGTC